GTCCTGAATGACAGTTCCAGATATTATGAAATTCAGGAAAGTCAGAGAGAAAAAAATAATGAAATCTAGAATCACTGAAAGTATAAATAATTGTGCTGTACAATTTGGCAAAAGTATGGTGCCTTCAAGGTAGCCAAGTATGATAAGTATACTGGTAATTTATACAGGAGAAAGGAAGACTTAACTCAGTCAAAGTAAATGAACTAGAAACAGAATCAGTGATCTCATCCTAAAAATAAACCAAGCGTTCCCACCAGTCTCTGTAAACTTTTCTTGCTAAGTAAATCGTCAACTTTTACTGCTTTGAGGCCCAAAAATCCATGATTACCTTTTAAAAAAACTACCTTTTTCTTTTCTTTCTTTTTTTTTTTTTTTTTGCAGAACCGGGGATTGAACTCAGGTCCTTGCGCTTGCCAGGGAAGCGCTTATTCCACTGAGCCATTTCCCCGGCCCCAAAAACTACCTTCCTGATGATTTTAGAGGGAACAAAGTACTTTTATATTCATTATTTCTTTTAATTCTTGAAACAATTGTGGAAAATATGTACCATGGTCAACATAAAATGCATTACACATTGTATACATATTTAATGGTGGGGTATACATATATATTATCTTTAGAACCCTGTCATCTTCCTTCCATTTTTGAGACATGTTGATCTGAAATAATCTTTAAAATTTTTAATAAAATTTATCTATCTATTTATTTGTTTATTTGGTACAGGATCTTGTTACACACCTTGGACTTGTAGTGATCCTCCTGTCTCAGCTTCCCCAGTGCTGGGGTCACAGACATGCAACACCATGCCTGATTTCAATGGCCGACACGATGCACCTGGGGTTCTGGGGCCAAGATAGCATGCGGTACCGGGGATCAAACCCGGACTCTTCCACTTGCCAGGCAGGTGCTTAGACCATTGAGCTATCTCCCCAGCCCCTTTGTGAAATAATCTTTCTCCAGTAGCAGGAGCTCAGATTATCAGTGGCTCTGGACTGATAGCTTCAAAATTTCCTTCCTCAACACTAGACTGAAGAAATCCTAGGCTGCATTATATTCCTGCTTACTTCAAATTTTCATCCTAACACTAGTAATCGCAACTAAAGATTGTGCATTGGAAGGAGGGGGTCATGCAGGAAGATAGCTGTCTCATTTGGAATAATGTTTAGAATAATAAAAGGGGGACTTTGGGGCCGGCAAGATGGCTCAGTAGAATATGCGCTTGCCTGGCAAGCGCAAGGGTCTGAGTTCAATTTCCGGTTCCGCAAAGAAAAAAAAAGGGGGGGTTGTGGGTGACTTGACTTCTCAAAGGAAGGGAGAAGTTAACAGACATGACTGCTTGGGAGAATTGTGTGTAGACAGCCATTATCATATGAGTCTTTTTATAATCATTGTTTAATTTATTGATTTAATTTGGTGCTTTTTTCATTGACTTGTGACTTACTCAGTTCTCATTGCCACATAATAGTTTATGATTTTTGTCAGCATCTCAAATTGAATTTTATTGTCATTATTTGTGAATGTTTATTTTTCCAAGAGTTTAGCTCTTATATATCAGTGAAAGTTATTCTTTCTTTTAATAGATCTTCCTTTTTACTTTTAATTCCACAGCAAAATTGAGCAGGAAGGACAGAAAATCCTCATAAGTGACTTGTCCTCAAAATAGATTGTTAATATTTGTTTTCTAGCTTCATTCAGTTGCTAGTATGCAGCATTCCTTAAATATGAGCATATTTGAATACCTTTTGATGTACTTTTTATCATGCTTTAATCTCCCCTCCTTGTGGTAGATGCATTTGTACTCCTAGTGTAGACTTTTTCTTTCTTTATTCATACATAGAGCTATCTAATGACTGTCATCTGTCATCTGGTCCTTGAAACCCTACACTTCTGTGATGGGGAATCAGGATCTTGCTTCCCTCCTTAAAATATGTTCACCTCTGTTCCCCATCTTCGTGAGAGTTGTACAGTTCACCTGGTTACTCAGGTCTCAGATCCTGAGATTGGTTTGTGTTCCTACTTTCTCATCAACATTATTCAATCATAGTATCTTCCTGATTATACCCCTAAATTCTAACCTTCTTCTAACTGTGCTCTAATTTAGAATCTCTGATTTGCATTATTGTATGAGTATCTTCTACCAGCCTTAGTTCATCTGTCTACTTCTGCTGTTGTTCCAATCCAGTCTTTATTATTATTTTTTCTAATCCAGTCTTTATAAACTGCATCTATGAGAGGGTGGAGGTTGTAGCTCAGTGGTAGAGTGCTTGCCTGGGGCACCGGATTTGACCCTCAACAATATAAGTACATGTAAAAAAATACAAATCTGACCATAGTATTCTGTGGCTCAGGACCTCCTAGACATTTCCTTCACCTCTAGAAAAAAAATCATCTTTCTTGATGTGACTAGTGCTTATCTTTTCACAATATCTTCTCACTTTGTCACCAACATCATTTAGGTCTAGATTTCATGCCTAGGACCTCTTTAAGAAGGGAGAGCTTTGTGATTAAGAGCAAAGATTTAGCTACATATCACAGTTTCACTAGTTCTTGTAAATTATACTTCAACTGAATCTCACTTTATTTGTAAAAGGGGGTACTCTAACTCCTCTATTATGAAGAGAAATTATGATAATGTTGGCAAAATACTTAACAGAATAGACACTATGTGATGATTTATTACTAATGTTATAACACCATGCCATACCCACTCCTCACAAATGTCTTCTTTGTCTGTCTGGAGAATTTTTTCGTATAAATCTTTTTGACTGTCTACAGTATGCCAGCATTGTTCTAGAACCCAGAGAGGAAGTGAGGATCTAGAATGACATTCTGATCTAGTAAATTTGTTTGCTATTTAAGACCATTTTGACCATGGTAGGTCTAGTATGCTATGTATTACCAATTCTTTTGCACAGTATTATACTTCATTTATCTTGTTTTACTTATCAACTTACCATACTTTAGAGTTAATGATTATTAATGAACTCTTGCTATGGGATTTTTTTTTGCGTGTTGAGTAGGGACTTGCTTTCATTAATTTGTGTAACTTCAGTTCCTAGCAGTACTTGATAATCTTTCATTTAACTACATGTAAGGGACACATAAAAGATGTTCAGTGAATGCTTTTGCATGAAAATAAAATTATGATTCCATAATATAATTTTTTATCATTGCTTAGTAGAATTAGCAGTATTTTGGTTCTGTGAGGCTTTCAGGGCTGACCTAGGAACCCACCTCCAAATGCTACTTACTTGCATGGGCAATAAATGAGTTTGAGTTCAAGTATGGTGTGATAGTGGTTTTCAAACAGGCCCATAGACAGGACAGACTAGAGAGATTAACCATATGGCCAACTGATTTTCAATAAAAGGTAACAAGAACATATATAAGAGGAAAGAGCCTCTTCAGTTGAATGATTGCTAGGAAAACTAGCTGTACCTATGAAAACAAATGAAATTTGTGTCCCACCTCTCACCATATATATCAATTAATTTAGAATGGATCAAGGAACTAAATGTAAAACCAAAAGCTATGAAACTATTAGAAGAAAACAGAGGAAACATTTATGACATTGGTATAGGCAAACAAAATGTTGTGGCTGTAACCTCAAAAACACAGGCAAAAAAGGGAAAAAAATTAGACAAATGACATTATATCAAACCAAAAATCTTTGTGCAAAGGAAACAATGAACAAAGATATGAGTCAATCTAAAGAGTGGGATGGAAATCTGCTATTGCGTTTTCCTCTTGCATGCTATTCATCTGACAAGGGGTAAATATCCTGAATATTGAAAAAATCTCAGTGGCAAAAACATGTCAGTGCAATTAAAAATAGGGACATGATCCAAATAGATATTTCTTCAAGAATATACTCAAATGGCCAGGTATGGTGGTTCATACCTGTAATCCCAAGACTCAGGAGGTTGAAACAGGAGGATCACCACAAATTCAAGGCCAGCATGAGATACATACTGCATTTAAGGCCAGTCTGAAGTACATATCATGACCTTGTCTCAAAATAAGCAAACAAACACAACAACAAAAAAGATACACAAATATGTAACATATGAAAAAGGCTCAATATCAGTAATTATGAGGGAAATGCAAGATCAAAGCCACAATAAAATATAAACTCATCCCAACTGAAGTGAGTATTATCTAAAAGATTAAAAAGGCACAAATTCTGGCATAGATATAAAGAAAGGGGAATTCTTACACTCTTATTCATTTGATGTGAATAAAAATTAGTATACCCACTTCAGAAAATATTATGATGTTCCATGATATTTTGGGCTGGGGATATAGCTCAGCGGTCTAAGTGCCTGCCTGGCAAGACCAAGGATACAGGTTCGATCCCTGGTACTGCATACTATGTGGGCCCTGAAACCCTGAGCACACTGTGCTGGCCATGAAACTGGGTGGGGTGGTTCATGCCTGTAATCCCAAAGCTGGGGAGGCTGAGACAGGAGGACCATACAAGTCTGAACTGCATAGCAAGACCCTGTACCAAATAAATAAATAAATAAAACATATCTGAAAATCAAACTACCATCTGATCCAACAGTTCACCTACTGCATGTATATTTAAAGTAACTGAAATGATTACAACAGAGGCCTACATGCCTATGTTTATTGCAGCACTATGGGTGATAGCTATGATGTGGAACCAACCATACTTAGTGCAAGAAAACCTCATGCCAGGAGCACTGCAAGATCTGACTGGATAACCTTATGTTATTTTAATTTCTATTACCATGATTTTATATTTTATCAATATTTTTTCTTTTTCTTTTTTTTCTATACTGGGGATCAAACTCAGGACCTTTGGCTTGCCAGGCAGGCACTTAGGCCACAGCTATATTCCCAGCCCAATATCTTTTTTCGAAGTTTTGGCCTTTTCGGGGCTTTTATGACTTTACAGTTTGCTTCTTTCAGTTAATGTACTTGTTTCTATGTGCTCATCTAAGTGTTTTGCCAATTTTCTTTCTTTCTCCTTGTAGGCTTCTTTCCCTGGGAACTTGCACTTGATTTTGGTTTTACGGCCTACCAGTTTTCTTCAACGAACTTTCACAGATATTGGATTTCGATTTAGTCAGGAGGATTTCATGCTCAAGTTACCTGTAAGAGTACTTTATATAAATATTCCATTCCTTGAATTCTCATGAAAACTACCATGCTGTTTGTTTTACATGTGGCCACATAGTATTAAAAAGAAAATGAAATAAAATTTGCCTTCCAGAACTACAAATGGAAATACCCAAAAGCCTTCTGCTTATGCTGATAAAAAGGAATAGCTCAAGCAGTTGATAACAAAAAAATTCTTTTAACAATACATATGTTTTATATGTATGTATGTATGTATGTATGTATATATATGTGTATGAGTGTGTGTGTGTGTGTGTGTGTGTGTGTGTGTGTGTGTATACAATCAGGAAGTTTTATTTTTACTAAAAATGAGTGTGTGTTTTATGTATTTGAAGTCCCATTAACTCCCATCCTGAGCTTGTGCAAAGTACCATGTTCTTTATTTTTGAAAATATATTTTTATATGCTTTTGTTCTGATGAATAGAGTACTAGGAAATCCTGATACTTTTGGAAAGATCAGTCTCTCCTGATGCACTGTAACTAAGGACATAAAGTCCTTTTACTTTTGTGAGTATTGCTTTCGTTCACGAGCTGATCCATGAACAATGGAAACTCTTAGGTGAAAGAGAATTAGGTGCTTTTATGTCTAAGGAGGTCAATGTTACCTTCCCGAAAAGCATTGTAGGAATAAAAACTGTTTTCACCTGAAGAAGGTAACACATGCATGCAGGGATTATATAGGAGAGAACTGTTAGAACCTCAATACAAGATAACTTTCTGGGAAATGTATGTTAAAGTTCATTTTACCGTTTAATGGAGGGATGTCATGAAGGACAGTTAACAGTATCTTTCTTGCTTATTTATATAGGTTGTTATGCTGAGCTCAGTTAGTGATTTGCTGACATACATTGATGACAAGCAGTTAACCCCTGAGTTAGGCGGCACCTTGCAGTACTGCCACAGTGAATGGATCATCTTCAGAAATGTATGTTGCTTTTGCCCTTACTGTAGAGCCTATAGTTTGTATTAGCCTTTATATCTAGTTCTAGCAAAGTTTCCTATTTGGGAAAAACAGATTTTTGGGACTCCTACTTTTGAAATACATACATAATTCTACCTCTTGATTTTCTTCCATAGGAATTATCTAGATGAAACGTCTCTGAGGATGGCCACTGAAGGAGAGGCCTAAGGAATAAGGCCCATCCCTTCCTGTGGCTTTGTAGAAACAAATGGTTGGGATTCAGTCCTCAGAATCTCTGAGATTGAGCTATGTGACCTTGGAAATATACCCAACCTCTCAAAATTGTAGCTTTGCCACTTATAAAATGGGAAAAAGAATACCTCCCCACATAGGGATCTTGAGAAGCCTAATGAGTTAACTAAGGCAAAATGTCTGGCTTGGCACCTGGCATACAGCAAACCCTCAATAAGTGCAAGTAATGTCATTGATCTCTTTGGCCTGGTGATGTTCCTGAGGCAATGGGTTTGTAGCACAGTCCTTCTGTTTTAGAAGTTTACAAATAGACGAGGGAGGGTCCTGTGCCTTCCCAGCAAGAGTCTGTGGTTTAAGTATCTTGGCTTTGAATTCCAGAGACATGGGAACTGTTCTAAAGGAAATAAGGAAGTTTCATTAAATCAAGTTTGCATTTCATCATCCCTATTTGTCATCCATCAGTTCATTTAACAGTTCATTCAACAGTTCATTTATTCATTCACATGAAGGCATAATGTCAAAATTAGCACTACTGTATCTAGCCCTTAGTAATCTATAAACCTTAAAATAAAGAGCAGATGCCTTGAATTGCTTGGTAAACTGGTGATTCATATGATGACTACATTTTGTCCATTTTTCTGTGAGAAATAATTGGACTTAACTTGCCATTTTAGAGCTATAGAACCTTAGGGGTGACAAGTTTAGATCTTCAGCAGTACTTGCCATGAATTGCTGAGAAAACTTGGTCCCCTATTTCCTCATTATGTAGTTTGCAATTCTCATGCTTTTCACAAACAATTTCAAATACATATAAAATAGTTTCACTACCCTTACTCTCTTTCAGGAGTAAATTTGTTATGAACCAATTTTGCCCATTGAACAGTTGGATAAAAGAAGGGAAATACTGTGATTTTCAACAGCACTGAATGAATTATTCACTACATGTGACATGTAGTTATCAAGTCTTTTGTTTTCGTTCTTTTTTTGTTGGTTTTATTTTATTTGCTGGGAACAGAACCCAGGGCCTTGTGGATGGTAGGTAAACACTCTACCTCTACACTATATTTCCAGCCCCAAAGAAATAGTTGTCATTAGTTTCAAGGAAAAAATTCCAGAGAGTTATAAGACTGACACTCAAAGAAACCTTTAACTATGCTTTTAGTTTCATAAAGGCTTATGTGCAGAGTTAGAGCTGGTTGCTAAATTAATACCAAATTTCCTAGCAGAAGAGAATTCATAGCATGTGTGTATGTTTACGGCTATACCCAAATACAAAGAAATATAGTGACTGATAACATGGTAGAATTTCCATAAAATAATCACTGGCTTTTTATTTACAGGCTATAGAAAATTTTGCCCTCACAGTAAAAGAAATGGCTCAGATGTTACAGTCCTTTGGAACAGAACTGGCTGAAACAGAACTCCCAGAAGATATTCCTGCAATTGAAGAAATTCTGGCACTTCGTGCCAAAAGGTATCAACTACTGAAGGTAGGTCTGGCAGGGTGAGCAGACAAAAGTTTTGCATGGTGTTCTTTTTTTCTAAAACATTGTTTGGTATGTTCTTTTCACGCTGATTGCTCTCCATAGAAAGATAAAAGATATGCTTACATTATATAAAACTATAAAATATAATACTTTACCTGAGAAGAATATACCAACTATGTTGAATCTAAGGGTGCCTTTTTAATATGGAGCATTACCTCCTGGCATCATTTATTTAAAAGTAGACTATCACAGAAATGCTTCAGAATAAGCGATCTACTGCCATCTCTCTTTAAATCAAGTATTTTTTTTTTCCTTTGTGAAAAGTCCCTCTCATTTAGAAAAAAAGGGTAGGAGCCAAGAGTTGGACAGATGCTCTGTTCTAACCCCCACTGCAGGTCCATCATGAAATAGGAGGAGGTCAGCTTTCTCATCACTCTGTTGCTGTGAATTAGTGTTATAACCCAGGCTAACATTGTCCAGTGGGTTACAGGCGCTATTTTCTGTGGAGTTCTAATACTTCATGCATTCCTTTTTTATTTCTTCTCTTCTTTTTTATTTTTGTTTGTCTCTTGTACTGGGGACTGAATCCTCGGATACACTACCACTCACCTGTATCTGTAGTCAGTCCTTTCTATTTTTTTTTTTTTTTGAGACAGGCTCTCACTAAATTGCCAGGGCTCGTCTCAATATTGTGTGCTTGACATTTTCTGTGGCACACCAGGTGTAGGAAATTGATTTTGTTCTTCTACTCAATTCTGCCTGGAGTGTTCAATTGTGAAAGACTTGGAGGCATAATTCTGATAATGAGCAAGTATTTTTAGGGTCACTTTCCTCTGAAAGTAGAAAAACAATCTCAACAAGAACCAGGCATTCAAATATCACTCCTCTCCTTCATATAGTAATAGATGTATTGGGTGTGCTGGCACATTCCAGCTCTATGTAGAAGTGACATGTTTCAGTTAGGAAGAATAGAGAAGGTATGAATGTTTGAATCACAACCTAAGAGCCAAACTGTGTCCAAGCAAAGAAAGCTCTGTTTCTCACAAGCTGTGATGTTGGACAGTCTGCTTTTCCTGCTGGGTTCAGCTTCCTTCCTGGTTCATTGAGGCTGATGATGCTTGAATCTCTTGTGTATGTTTGTAATGAAGGTGAAATGAGGTATAATATGCAAGGAATATACGAAGTGTTTGTCACATAGTTGGTACTTTACAAGTCTTAGGTGGTTCTATTTTTTTTGTAGTGCTAGGGATAGAACCCAGGGTTTCAAACATACTAAGTAGACACCCCACCAGTAAGTGACACCCCCAAGCCCTTATGCCCACCTTTTAGGGAACTTAAGGAAGTCTTACATTAATTGTAGATGTCTAACATTTATGTTTTTAGCTTACTCCAAGAACACAGCCTTCCTAGCGAGAACTTAAGAATTAAACATGACAGGGGCAAAGCCATACATTTATAAGCACAAGATGGTTAAGGCAATGATCCTGAGAATCTTCAACAGGTTTTTGAAACTAGCAGTTAATTGGTAGGATTCTCACCCTGACTAACCATTTCATTATTGAGAAACAGATATAAATCAGACAGTTTCAAAACCAATTAATAGGATAGTTTCAAAAATTAATACATTGCATATTGTTTATGCAATGTATAAACCTAATAGCTGTGAAATAAACAACTGTACTGAAGATAGCAATGTGTAATACTAGGGTCATTCTTGGAATGCCTGTCTTTCTGGTCTTCTAAATGCATACTGCTTCTAATGTCATATCAATTACTGCTATACTCTCTCTCAAGTAAATGTTTGTTTGTAAAAAAGGGATAATAAATGAAAACAAGGGACAAGAAAAATGTCATGAGACTGTCCTGCTATAATACTGTATATGGTTAGATTTCTAATTTCTCTGTAAAAATATATAATTATTTATTCCAATTTTTAA